ACAAAAACTGCGGGGAACTCTGCAAAAAACGCATCTCCGCACGGGCAGCCCGTGCGTTGGCCAATTATTTCGCCTAATTTGTTGTGGCTTTTTACTTAATCGGAAAACAAACCCAGGCTGGAATGCACCAGGCTTGCCGGTGCAATCATGCGTTTTTGCACCTGGCTAGAACTACTCAGGTCGTTAACTGCATGAATGACTATTGCTTTATACCCATCTTGTAAAGTCACAAGCGTAAACCATAGTAAATTTTGCATAAAGGAAATAAACAATTTCCGTTTAACAATCGTTATTTGAAATGACTTAGCTGTTCAGTAAGCAGTTTCCCGCCAAAAATTAAAGTGTCCGTACGTGAGAACCATCCATACCTGGAGGCTGAATTTGAAGTCTTTAAGTTCTACTTGGACAGGAAACATAATAACACTTCAGCTTTCCAGCTTTTCTGATCTCCCAGACAGTTATTTTCCCGCCAGAACTTTTAAGTGCCCATATGTGACAACAATGAATACCTGAAGGCTGAGTTTGAAGTATTTATTTTGTGTTTTGACAGGGAACATTGCCCTAAAATTTCAACTTTCTAGCTTTCTGATTTCCGAGTTAGCAACTTCCCCAACAAAACTTCGACGTGCCTGTACGTGAAAACCACAAACATCTAGGGGCTGAATTTGAAATCTTTAAATTGTACTGGACGAGAAACATCCCCTTAAAATTTTAGCCTTTCATCTCTTCTAGCTACACAGTTAACAGTTTTTCCGCCAAATCTTTCGCGTTCCCCTTACGAGGGAAGCACGAATACTGTGGGCGCTGAATTTAAAAATTTCAGCTCAAACATGCACGGAGAATCTCAGCTCTCTATCTTGTCTCAGCTCTCTATCTTGTCTGGTCCCCGACATCACTTTCCTGCCAAAAATTCTGCAAATGTTTTTGAAGCGCCCGTACGTAGAACCCAGGTTTAAGCAGGTGATAATATTAAAACGGGAGGTTTGCATAAGTGACGGGTACATACTTCTGAAGTTTCAGCTCTCTAGCTTTTCTGGTTCTCGAGATGACAGTGGGTGACGAAAAGTGCGAACACACAGACACGCATAGACAATATGCATTTTTGCAATTTGCATATATGCAAAAACGCATGAAAAGTGAAAATTATCAGCAAAAATCTTCAGATGAGCAAGCAATGAAGAAAGAGCACCGTCCAAAATTAAAGGTCAGATTCTGTGGATTCGGAGTCGTCCGAAGTGCAACTGACTGGAACGACAACAGCTACCTTAACATTATTCAACCGAGCTGGACAGTGAGAAAGTGAAGGCATCTGTGGCAGAACACGGCAAGAAAACAGTCTCTGATGAGCAGCAATAAACGAGGACGCAATCAATCAGCCATACTGCCACACCTGAAAGCAGGCAAAATTCGCGCATCCACCGAATAAATATTCTTCAACAGTCATCTCATGACGCTCTTCTGACGATAATTGGACCAGCTGGATTTTTTATACTAAAGCTATACAAAAAATAATAGGCAGTATTAATATAAAAAATTTGGAGGGAATGGAAAAATAATACAAACCTTAGGCTGGAACGCACCAGGCTTGTCGATTTAATCATGCGTTTTTGCATCAAACTTGAGGCAGTCA